AGTTGATCCCGGAGTTTCGCGGCGGTCGCATCGGCTTCTTTCAATTTGTCACCTGGATGGACAATAACGAGTGAATATGGGGTTACTAGCAAGGACTAAAAGAGGATCCACGTACTCGTGCGGCGAAGCTTGAATTCCAGCTCTGTTTGTGCACGCTTGGCAGCCGCCCACTCGGTAGCCGCCTTGTCCCACTGGAGCTCGCTGTCCGCCAGCTTCGCTTGGATCTCGTCGCGCAATTGAGTCATGCGCACGAATTCCTCGAGCGCGTAATCTCGTCCGGCAGACGCTTTCTCGAGCGACTCCTTGGTGTCTTGCAACTCTTCAGAGAGTTGAGCCAGGGCTACATCCGGCGATGAGGGAGGTGGATTTGGCGCGGGGGACCCTCCACGCGCCGACCCTAAGGCGGATCTGCCATGAGTGGATCCCACATAGTCGTTGGTCACCACCTCCTCCTGGGTCAGACGCAACTCGTCACGGAGCCGGTCCAAGCTCGCATCCGCAGCTGCCCCAGCAGACTGGGAATCCTCCAGATCCCGCTCGAGGTCGTGTATCCGGGATTGGAGCTGGTGGATCTCAGATCCAGCGAGCGCCATCTCCCAAAGGAGATGGTCGTTGTCATCCCGCATGACATCTCGCTGACGGGAGGCGCGATCCAGCCGTCCGGTCAGGTCGCGGATCTCGACCGCCTGATCAGCCAACAAGAGTCGCAGGTCCTGCGACCGAGAGGCCGCACGGTGCTCTCACTCCTGGATCTCCATAGCCTGGTCATGGATTTGGGCTCGCAAGGTCTGAAGTTGGGTAGTGTGCAGAGACGCAGCTTGGTCTTGGGCATCTTGAGCCGTCTGGAGCTCCGCCGTCAGGGTTTGCACCTGATCGGAAAGAGCCTGGGCTAGGACCCGCAGATCGGTGGGCTACATAGAAGACGGACTGACCGGAGGGGTGGTGGATGGGGCCTTGCCCGACGATTTGCCGGTACGCTTGGCGGGAGACATGTGTCGCGAAGGGGAGAAAGCGGTTGTGGATGCTGGTAATGCACGCCGTGACGCTGTTGCGCAGCGCCGACAACGTACAGGAAGCGATTGTGGTGAAGTGCTTCTCAGGAATAAGAGAATGGGCCTGACGCGGGTCACTATCCCGAATCGGTGACAATTTCAAGTGATTAGAGAGGATTTGGGTTGGTGGCACGGATGCAAGTTGCCGGTGGTGGATTAGCCATGACGAGCAGCACCCCGTATGAAATGACGATGGATCTGGTATGAGCGATGTACGAGAAGGCAAGATTCACCAAGACTTACCTCGGATCCACCCTTACCTGGATTCACTTAAATGGATATGGGATATACTATACAAGAGTGGATCGGGTGTGGATCCTATGAAGGAAGGATGGTCGGTGCCCTCTAAAGATGGATCTAGTAGCCACGGCTAATGAGGAGTCAAGATCCACCGCGAGGTACCCCGGATCCCATACTTCCGAGTTCGGGTCCAAGGAGGGAGGATCTTGCATAGAAGGACCTGGATCCAGGGTACAGGGATGAGGGATGCAGTGGATCTGGAACTTTCGTGGGACAATGGAGATCACAGACGGTTGCAAGATGATGTTGGATGATCGGAGAGCTCGGATCCACGGCGAGTGTACAATTACAGTGAGGTGGATCCAAGCGACCTGGATCCGGATGAGTGTACCCATAATAGGGTGACCATGATGATTACGTCATGGATCCGGTGGATCTGAAGATAACACAGCTGGGATGATGGGTCAAGGGAAGAAGGGACATGCAGCCGAGCCTGGTAAGGGATTTAGCAGATGAAAGACATAGAAGGTAGAAAACCAGGCAGGTATAGGCTTAAATATCAATACAGTCCTCAATTTGCACTGTGGAGGGCAAGTGACCTGTAGTCGTCTCGGGGGTTGAATTTGGCCTCGGGCGATCGCCGTAACAGGAGTGAACATTGGGCCCTGGACAAGGACAGCGTCTACATCGCCCGCCAAGCATCAGGTATCATTTTGGAGTAATCAAGATCACGAACTAGAGAACAAGTGGGCACGGAATCGTAACGGGATCATCAAGTGGAGATCAACTACGTATAGCGTTTCGACGGGGATTGGATTTGGTCTCGCAGAACATTCGTAGCGGAGATGAGCGTTGGCCCGGACAAGTTTCGTGTATACTTCGTCCCTAGGGACTAACTCATTAAATAAAGTCCTCAATTTGCACAGTAACACGCAAGTGCCTTCTTGCCCTCAAGAACCGGAACTACATTGGCCGTACGAGCTCCGTGAAGGTTAGGAATTGCGAATCTAGTGTTGGTAGCGATAACTGGATAATACATTGGCCAGATCCTACAACCTAGTGAGCTTTCCTATACACGTGCAGATCCAACAGGTTAACCGAATTACTACTTGGTCGGTTACACCCTAGAGGTTCTCAACTCTCAAGATCCCGTCACAGGAGGCGGCAAGTACGACGCAAAGGAACTACAAAGGCAAGGGTACACACCCGCAAGGCAACCCTACGGCCAGATCCACGATCTAGGCCCCGGATCCATAAGCTCGAATATTCGCTTAGGATTCGACACAAACCACGGACGCAGAGTGAAGATTTTCCACTGCTGCTCCACCCCATCCCCACGTCTCGCCAAGCCACTCAAGCTTCACCACTTGAACTCTTCGGAAGTTACCGAGAGAGCAAGATCCCGCCCTACCGACGGGTACACAAGGTGAGGAAAGTTCAGCAGAACACGGATCATCGGGGGACCCCCTCCGTTAGTCGGTGTCTGGGCGCAGTTGGTAAGTTGGATCTGGCAATCTCGCAGATTTTGCTGATCCCGCTACACCACACGGACACTCTGACGCGCAATGAGAAAGCGCTTCGGCGTCAACAACTTCGACGCAAGAAGAAACGCCAGCACGAAACCGTGGATGACGTTGTGGGAGCGGACGCGTCGTTGCATATTATCACACCCAACACGACCAAGCACAGCAACGGCAAGCTCACGTGCTATCTGTGCAGTCTTAGAGGGATGTAAAAAAAGCAAGATATGGATGCACCAAATGTGAACGTGGGTTTCACGTAGAGTGTTTTAGCGCATTCCATTACCAAGACGTCTTCAAAGCGCGTTCGCGCGGAGTTCGCGATGCGCTGGACGCGGTTTGCAGCGCGATGACCGATGCCCCTATAGCATTTACACGGAAACGAACCAATAAGTCAATCACAGGCGTAGAATCACTAACGCTACCTTCATCTTGATAATAATATTTACCTTCTTGGCGTCCCGACCAAACTGTGTGCAATTGTCGTTTGACACACTCGGGAACGTCCCCTTGCATGCTTCCACTTGTCAAGTACAGATACAATCGGCACAGTGCCTGGCGGACAGCACGGTTCCCTCGCCGTCTCCGCGACAGCTTGACTTGGAGGCGACACCCGGCCTCTTGAAGCTCGAAGCCGTACCGTTTCCAGTCACACACAGGTGCTCCGCACCAACCGCACAGAATCTCCGCTTCGTCCATGGGGTGGAGAATGAGGTAATGCAAATTTGAGGGGGATTTTGCTGTAAGAGGTTGCGGCTCTTTCCTGCGCTCTCGCGATTGGTTCAAAAATTCAAAATTCCATGCTTTCATTGGTTCTAGTAGAGGACTCTGTGGACCCCTAAAAATGGGGGTGCGGCTTATCTGCTATACAAAATCGGATGCTTTTCAACACAATTTCCATTGGATGGAAATCGATACTTCTGTATGTATTATGCAGAACAGGTGGTATTAGAAACTACTATGGTTATCACCACATTGTCGTGCGTCACGCCTCGACAATAAACGATACGCTGTAACGTTAAGCCCTTCGTGATGAATTTGTTAATCAGCGCAGGAAATTGATCCACGTCCAACAATTGCCTCGCTCCATTGTTGAGCTCAACCGCCCAGTTGTAGACACCTTTTGGCCCAACCGAATATTGTCAATCCACAACGCGACGAGGCAAATTTCTCAACCTGATGTTTTCGTCGCTGTCTTGAACTGGAAGTTGTTTGGTTTGCCAACATGGTTGGGTCAAGTTTATACTTCTTCTGTAGTAAAACTATGCATCGTTTTGGACCTGCGCCACCTTGAAGAATGCTATCCACCTCTAGTTTTATCTGCATGTCAATACCAGATCTCTTTCGGTGCGTTAGCGACTGGCTATGGGTATTACTAGCTCTAGCTTCGCATGAAGAAGTCGTTGTGGAATCGGTAGAGCAGAACTATGAAATCTTAAGGATCCGTAGACGACGAGAGCACGCCTCATTCAAAATGCAAGTGTAGACACTCTTGCGACGTTCTGTCGGTCCATACGTGCGTAGATGGCTGTATTCAGTTGTATCAGCACTGTGTAGCGCTGTAACAGCTGCACCTTCCGTAAAATGTGTTGAGATAAACCGGAAGGAACTATGTGCGACGCTAGCAGTATCATCCTCAGGCGTTGAGACCTCTGGATCTTGTTTATCGTCGCTCATGACTGCGGTTCAGCGCCTGTTGGTGAATGTGCCGTCTCGTGTCATACTAGGATGTCTTAAAATATCAATATGTTGTAACACACACAGCTGTAATACAAATAAACGGGACAAAGTACATTAATACCACCTTTTCACTATTGAAAAGCATCCTTTTTTTCAAGTGTTGAATTCCATCCTTTTTTGTATTGGAAATTATCTCTTTCCGTAAAAATGGTCTGGTAGTTAAAGGGTTAATTTGTAAGCTAAAATCTGATTTATTTGCAGGCGAAAACGGGGTGCAGTACTGTATTGTAGTATTTCCTGAACAACACTCGTCTTCGAACGTGTATGCTAGGACGAGAATTCAGGTCGCACGGTACACTATCCGTTCTTTCCGTGCCAATCTACTATTCGATATCGGGATTTTCGCTGTTCAGGGCTACTATATTCAGGTCCCATGCAACATTATCATCCTACATTACATTGCAGCTTGTAACGCAGTGTCTGCATTGAACAAACAACGCACCCGAGCTACAGCAACAAGTATGGCATACAAGAATTTTTATTCAAATAGCTTTATACCGCAGCTGCTACACTATTACAGTAATAGCAACAGACGCGGAGAACAAAGCCTAATCGTCGATGAAAGACAAGATGATACGGCCAATGGACGCTGACTCAGCGGCTGAGCGCGCTGAGTCAAGTCCACTCATAGCGACGCACACGTAGACGAGAACCCGTTCGCGTACGAGTACACGTTGAGTACCAGGCCACTAGTTGGCACCGTCAGCTCGCAGTCGGGAGCGTTGAGCGACACGATCTTGTTGATCATCGTCTTGCACGCCGTCGACGCGCACATGAGCTTGTACTGCTCCGTCGTGGGCAGCGAGGTGGCCGTCAGCATCGAGTAGCCGGAGTCCGTCGAGCACTGATTAAACGACGTGTCCGAGAGGATGCTTACGAGCGCCACGTACGCTACGGTCTGCTGCGAGGTGGTGCACGTGGTGGCGGAAGTGGAGCCGACGAGGGCAGCAACGGTGGCAGCGAACAGAGCACGAAAGTTCATCGTGGACGGAGTGAGGAGGAGTGGGTGGGGATAACAGAGCAAATTGCACAATGGAAGTTGTGGAGCTAGGACTGGAAGGGTCAGCAAACAATGTCATCTTGACTCGCATTGCCTTGGAACGACATTGACAGGTTTTGCCTCTTTGGATTTCGTCGGCGACATCGTCGCGACTGTAAAAAGTTGTCGAAGCACCGAAAACGTTCACGTGGCATGAATCCTGCGGCAGACCGAGAGACAGACGCGTATCTGGTCCTGCAACAGAGGAATGACGCCTTCACAAGAGAGCGTCCACGTCCATGATTTGTATTTAGAAATGGTCCACCACTGGTACAGTACTTTATTTAATAATACACATGTACCAGTGGTAGATCACCAGTCAGATTTATTTATAGCAGGATCACATCGAGGCACGATCCACCGTCGGCAGCTCTTGACCAAGTTGACGGGGCACCACGTCCGTCGAAGGGACAAACTGAAGCTGGGCGTGGGAGATGTGCATTTAATTTTACCTTGTTTGACGTGCCAATGGCACGTCAAACAAGGCACGATGCCATACAAACAGGCTTGGTATTGTGGTTTTCATCAATTTTGCCGCCCGATTTGCTGTGTTATCTCGGGGCCCGATTTAAATAAGTTGGGCAGGGTGCTGGGTAATAAGGCTTGAATTAGCTATATGTGACCCACTTAAGGTCTTAATGATGAGGGCGACGTCATCTCCAGACGACCTTACCACCCACAACTCAGCTTTACTTATTGAGGAAGAGATAAACACTAAACGTATGCATACTGTAGCGCGATTGCCGAGTAAAAGGGTGCTATAATTCTCCTATGGCGGTTAGACTGGAAGTGTTCTAGCAAATTAGTTTGGGCAGATCACTTATGCCGTCCAAAGACGGCAATTCTGGCACTTCCCCTTTAATTCGAAGTGCCCATCGACATATCCGGCCCGAGATAGCAATCTTACCTTACCCCTACTTTCTATTCCGACGGCGTTTAGCAAATCGGATCCGATATAGTGGATCTCGGATCATCCGCTTTGCCAAAATGGATGAAAACCACAATACATGTTGGATTCAGTAGATCCGCTCAGTCATCTTATTAGGTACAGAACATGTTGAGTAATATTACATGTAAATACCGGTAAGGAGCCATTTGTATGTACCGTAATAAGATGACTGAGCGGATCTACTGAATCCAAGCGTCGGGTCTATCCACATAAAACCTGCTCCATCAAAAATCGGGGAGCCCATATTCGTGGCTCATCTAAGTACGAGAGGGGTTCTCTAACCGTTTAATTGGTAGATATTTGCGAGATGGATAAAAAAACTGTCATGTATTAACAAATTGAATGCCCCGGATCATTGCGCGACGAGCACTTCCGGAATTTTGAAGGAGCAGATTTGTTGTGGATAAATGCTCCCGCTCCTGAGAGTTTACAGTGTTGCGGGTGTTAGGCAACGGATACCTTCAAGCAGCTTCCGTGATTCAGGAATCCTGAATCAGGATCCCCATGACATGGCAAATGAATCCTTGAACGGCTCTTGTGCAGCAGAGTGGCATGTATCCTCTCGATTCAGTCAAGGCAGTGACTGCCTCGTACCGTACTTGGTAGATAATTGCGACCAATCATACTGTGCGAGCCTCTTCCACTTAGGTTTATAGCCAGACCATTTGAATGCTAATAATCACTTTAAGTAAGCCTTAGGCTCTGTTTCATTTGAGAATAAGTACATGTAGCAGGATAGCGAATCAAACGAAACAGATTTGAATAAGTTGATCTCGTGGAATAGACAGCCCCTAAGGTACTGTAGGCTTTAACCGGGGTACACGACAAACGCATTAAAGCGATGTCGGGCCTTTCTTACGGTACATATAGCTGCTACCTATTTTATCCAGGTACAGTAGTGCTACGTCAGTATACCTACAGGAATTAATTCGAGCACACACCAATAGTAGGTATCGATTCAGTACAGCTTTCAAATGAGTAGAGCTTATTTTCCTACCAATTTGTGCAAACCTTACAGGTTTCGCATGGTTCGACTTCGCTCCCAAATAGGAAACGAGATGGTTTTCAGGTGCTTTTTGATGGATTATCGAGTGCAAAGTATGCTTGAGGTGCCGAACGTGGTCCAATGGCAATGTCGAGGACGCACCAGAATGTTATGGGACCTTTAAGGTAGAATCTTGTCGACAAGCTGCGCTCCCAGTTAATTATTCACTGCTCGTTGCCTTGTAGTACTAATCAACATTCTATTATTATTCTGCATAGGGCATATCAGCTTCGCTATCTACTTGTTAAATTTATTTAAGTGGGTTTTAATTTGTGACAAGGTTGCCGCAGCGGCAAAGACTGACACTTTCATTTTTGGGCGTCAGCACGTGCTAAGACTTGACGATTTTGTAGCTCTCGATAATCGACCAAAGTGCACTCGAAAACCATTCCTGCCCCCTAAATAGCTATTTCACCGATGTTTTAGTCTGATTCTTGAGGTTTTATACCTAAGTTTTAGAAAAACCTCAAGTCATAGTTTCAGCTCGAACTAGTATTGCATGTAATCTACCCACAAAAACTCTCAAGCGGAGCAGATTCAATCTGCATACTTAATTTCCGAGTAATCTGTGTTTGTCCATGACCCGATTAAATTCATTTATCCCCGAGTAAATTGTCGCCTACCGGTACTTAAAATTGTTTTTGCGCAAGTTGAATAAGGGGTGAGGTATATTGTGCTACAGCACCTGGTGGTACCGAACTCTAATAACCATTCCTGCAAGTCACTACTCTACTTCCAGGTATCCACCGGCCGGTCTAGATAACGTCACACCTCTTTCGTTTCTTGCCTGCCCTGCCTGCTTCTCTACTCTGCTCGGCGAGCTGAGGATTCCTTTGTCCACTGCTCCACGTCCGCTATCATTAGTTTTAGCACACCGTCTTTCGGTCTGCTCTCTCTTCCCGTTATTTGCTCCGTCCACACCAAACTTCTGCCTGTGTCCATGGCCTGGTTGGCCAGCCAGTCGGCCATCTTGTTATGTCGGCGATAGTGGTGACGCCAACTGCGTACGGCGCATAAATCCGCCATCCTGCGCGTCTCGCAATACCAGTATTGCAGCTTCTTCGCCTTTGGCGGCCTCCTGTGCTCCATCATGCCCACAATCAGCGCGCTGTCTCCCACTATGTTGATGCCAAACCAGTCGCTCTCCACCGCCCGCTTTAGTAGTCTGTGGAGGCCCACAAATTCTGCCACGTTGTTGGTTGTCTCCTTTCTCCCCAGAGCCGTCGCTGCCGCCCATACCGGTTTAAGCTGCGTTGCGTGTCCTCCTAGTTGTATGACCACACTGCCACTCCCACCAGCCCCTGGATTGCCTCTTGATCCACCGTCGAAGAACCCCAATCTTTGGTTGTACTCTGGTTGTTCAAGCATCTCCTCTCGCTCTGTCTGTTTCCACCGTATCAGGATAGTCTCCGCTATCTCCAGCTTGATCATTGATTTGGATAATAGGTGAGCCGGTATCGCTGCATGGCTTCTGTCACCTGATGTATGGCTTCACTTGCATGTTCATCCACCGCACAGCGGCTCCTTACGGTGTCATGCTTTCTGCCTACGTTCCATCTCCATATCGCTGTTAGCATCACGGCACATCCTGCCTCCCATAAGTCCTGTGCTACCCTTTCCAACACGTCCCATTCCGCGATATTGTGGTCTGATGCCCATTTACACAGCCAGCGCGGTACTTTCTCCATTTGGAAAGAGAAAATCGCCATTAGTTTGGCGACGCTCACCTCTGCGCCGTATGCATACTCTGTGTCCCATCGCTTAAGCCATGCCCTCCAGTGTGCTTGCGCGTCCTGACACTTCCACACCAGATGTACGACTCCTTCCGTGTCGCTATCTCGACACTGAGGTCCCAGACAACGGAAACCTAGTTCGGGTTCGGCCCATAGCTTGAGTCTGTGTAGTTTTAGTTTCCGCACGTTCTGTATTTGGTATGCAGAGCCTCCACTCATCGCTGAAATTCGCTCCCAAGTAAGCTTAGTGAGCGCCCTCGCAATATCTGAATGCCTCTTTTCCCAGCAAGCTTGGATCTTTTTGCTTTCAAGTTCAGCGATATGTGTCTTACGCTCGCACATAAGTCTTTTATACTATTTTCGCCGTTGTCGCCACCGTCGTCGACCTGCCCACAGCGGTCTCATTCGCGCTATCCATGGATGTGGTGTTACCCATACTGTGTGAACCTCCACATGCAACAGCCGGGCCGCTGTCTGGTCCATCCTTAAGCCTTCTGCGCTCCGGTCCAGCGAGTCCAGGCGTGTCGGCCACGTGTGTATGATCTTGTTGTTGTCGACTTGGTCCACCTCGAGTATGTGATGGTTGTCCTCCAGCCGGTGATGTACCCGTAGTACACCCACCTCCTCCTGCTTACCCGCTAGCTCCGGGTAGTTCGCGATCAGGTTCATACATACCTCGTGAAAAAGGACCGCATGTCCCCCCGTATCAGTCAGTACGGAGACCTTGGGTCTGAAGGTCATCACGCCATTCTCGGCTCTGTTAATCTCGCACAGATCCGCAATGTGTTTCCTCTTTTCCGATTTGATCAGTTTTCGGTAGTCGTTCCACGTCTTCCTTCTGCCCTTGTCATCCCACAACTACACTGATGACAATTCGATCTGTGGTATCCCATCATGCAGGAAGTCGCCATAGAGTTCCTTTTTTTTGGTTACCATGGCCGTCATCTTTGCTCTAACTGTCCCTGTACATTGTATTGTCAGACCATCGCTCGTCCATCGTGTTCTCAACCCGTGTCGAGGCCTAAGTCGGGTCCGTATTTCCTCTGCGTCCCCTCTTGTCGTGGTAATCGTCGGGCCTTTACCGGCCATCCACCACTCCGCCCACGGCCGTCCTGTTTCCAGATAGTTCCTCTGATCCCCTCCTTCGGCACCTTGGTGGAGGTGGCAAGATGCGTGGCTGATCCTTGCCCGTTGGTCTGTAATATTTCACCTACTCGTTGTGTTTGTATTTGTTCTGCTAATCCCCATTCTCCCACCATCGATGCACTCATCGCCATTAACTCGATCCAAATGTTTGGTATGCCTAGACCCCCGTGCTTTGTGTGTAGCTCTGCCAGATCTCTTTTGATCCACCCTATTGGAGGAGCGTCTGGAGCTGAGAAATTCCCGTTCCATACGAAATTCCTTATTCGCAGATCGGCCTCTGTTCCCAACTCCTGTGTAGGCCAAGCGTGTCGTGCAATGTAGAGCAGCTTGGGAACAATTATTGCCGCCGCTATCTTCGCTCTCTGCTCAACTGTGTTAGTCTTTACCTCAACCAGAGCTAGTCTGACCTTAATCGCCTGAAAGGCCTTCTTCCATGCGGTTCCCGTCATATCGCCGGGCCCTACGTAATGCCCCAGGTATCGTACCTCGTCCGCATCTGGTACAGTCAATGACTCCTCCTCCATGCCTTCTGCTGTGTGACAGAAAGTGTCCACTGCCGCGTTGCTCTCTGGACTAGCGAGCCGGACCGCTGCTGATTTGTTGATATTGAGCAGGAGCCCCGACACATCCGAAAACCGTCTGACCGCCCTCACAGCGTCAGGCTGCATCCGTGAGCTAGCAATATATATTGCGGTATCATCTGCGTACCCTGCTACCTTCAGATCGCGTTCCTCGTCTAGCCGTATTCCTCGTATTGTAGTCGTCATTTCGATTTCGTCATATAATAGGTCCACTGCAATGATAAAGAGTAATGGGGCTAAAGGGCATCCTTGACGGATGCCGCTTGTAACGTTCACTGATCTCGATAATTCTCCATTGGCCATGAACTTGACTGCTGTTTTACTGTGGATTGCCTGTACAATAGCACAGAATTTAGGCGGGAACCGCTTTCGTTTCAGCACCTCCATCAGGAAGGTTCTATCCAGTGAGTCGTATGCCTTCACAAAGTCCAGCATGAGCACTTGGGCTTGTTCCAACCCCTCGTTTGAGCTACAAACGATCTTGGCCGCTTCGTATAAGTCAATGTTTGCATGTATGTTCCGTCCTGGGATGAAGCCAGATTGGTTTTCGTGAACTAGCTTTGTTATGTGACGTCGTACTCTCCATGCCAGTATTCTCGTGAAAATTTTATAGTCCGTATTCAGCAAAGCAATGGGCCTGTAGTTCAGCGGGTTGCTTGTATCGCCCCCCCTTGCTAATACTAAAGATGTGCGCTTCATCAAAGGACGCCGGTGTTGTGCCCTCCGTCATGCAGATGTTAAATAGTTTTGTTAGTATCGGCACGAGGTCGCTCATGTTGTCCCTGTACCACTTATTTCCTAGTTCATCTGGGCCGCATGCCTTGCCTCGTTTGCATCTTTTAATTGCAGCCTCGACCTCTGTTTCTGTAAACGCGGTATCAATGTCGGCTAGATCGGATTCCCCCCATCTCTTCGCTAACCTGTCCACATACGCTGGTATGCTTTCCGGCGCCGCGATTTTGCCTTTAAAGATCGATTCCCAGCTTTCGGCTAACAAGTTTGGCTTGTCATGTCGCTCGACCTGTGACCCCTGCACTCTGCTAACCAGTGTTGGGATTGTATTATCGCCGATTTTCGTACAGATGCGGCGAAAGAAATGCCGTGTGGATGCCTTTGAGCTCCACACGCTTTTGGTCACAATGACTCTTCTGCGTAAGGCTCGTCGCGCTTCTTGCACTTGGTTCAGTTTGACTAGCAAGGCAGCCCTGGTTTCGTCGCTTGCTCGCTGTGTATATCCACATTGGACAAGGTGTTTTTTAATCCTTTTGATTCTTTGCCTGAACCCGTTGTTCATTCTCCGTCTTGCTGTCTTCTTGAGCTGCGCAATTTCTCTCTTGATCTTTTGAATGTGTCCCACTCGGTTATCAGCTGCTTAGTGTCGAAGTCCTTCATTTGTTCGTGAAATTCTTGAAGCCGGGTAGTGAGTAGGCTCCGTGTGGCCGCTTGCACATGCGCTGGTGCAGGATAAATGATTGCCCTCTTCTTGACACGTTGCTTCCCCAGTGGTGGGTGCAGCTCTAGAAGTACTTCCCTGTGATCGGCCCCCATGGTGATTCCTCTGTCGTCTGCCCCCTGATTAGCTTCTTCGAGTTGACGGAGATATACCACCTGTCCAGTCTCGATGATCCGATTACTCCTCTCGCCGACTTGTGTCGGTGAGTGTGGTGTAAATTCGCGTATTCCACTATGTCATTCCTGCTTACTTTCGTCGGCAAATTGCAGAAACCGGTGTCCATTAGGTCATTTTGCTCTATAAAACCCATCAACACTTTGACACCCGCTTCTTCGGACTTTCCTCCTCCAATTCTATCGACCTGCCGGTCCGTCACACAATTAAAGTCACCGCCACACAGTACCACTGCGCCAGGCGGCAACTTGAGATTAACCAGTGTCCTGAAAAATGTGACTCTGTCCAGGGTCGGACGGTGCATATACGTTGATCATGACGAATTCCCGTCCTCCTATGATTCCGGTGATCATTACTTAGTGCTCGCTCCAATATTCTTGTCCCCACGGTTGTGGATGGCTTACCGCTCCGTATGGGTTCAGCACGATTGCCACCCCCGCTTTTCGTGTCGTTCCGGACGCCCAGAATGTGTGGTTTGCCGCCATCTGATGCTTGAATCCCCACATTGCGACTACTTGTGCGCCTGCCTCCTCATGCTCTTCCGTGTTCAGGTGCGTTTCTTGCAGGAAAATGAAGTCTCTCTTTCCTCGTCTCTGCATCTCCTTTAATCCTTGCAGTTTAGCTCCTAGATGCTTCAAATGAGTTGCCAGACCTCGTACGTTAATTGTTGCCATCCCAATGGTGTAGTCATTCTCGTGATGTAGCGCTGCTGCTTCTCTCCTTCTACTTCCCACTGCTGTTTGTTGTGCCTTCCTCAGTTTACGTCTTAAATTTTTGAAATCCTTGTTTGTGTTTCCCTTCCGTTCTGCCTCCGTTACTCCGTCGTAAAATAATTGGGTCGTCTTTTCATTCGAGTTTGCTGACCCGTATTGGGCTTAACTCTATACTTAGGAGTCGTCATTATCCATTTGTGATGTGCCCTCCGCCCTCGTGTTTCCTGGTGTGATTTCGCTGCTGTCTGTAAGTGAAGAGTGGTCCAACTCTTCCGCGTCGGTCTGTGTCCCATCTACTTGCTCGCCCATTGAGCCACCGGTTGTGGTCGTTTCTTCCTTTCCAATGGCAACTGCTACTCCGTAGTCGTGACCGGCTCCCTGGACGTGTTGCATGTCGGTTTTTTCTGCGTGTTTTGTGACCCCTTTCTTGCCACTGTCTGCTGCCTGAGAAGTACCCACGCTGTCATCCCCTTGGTGGTCTCCCTGTTTGGCGGCTCTGCGGATTGCCCGTAGTTCTCTGGCCGCCGCAGTGGCCGTCCTCTCTGCATCATATTGAATGTAGTCCAGTGCAGGCCATCCGTGCTGGCATAGGATGTCATTTCGTCTAGGGGCCAGTATTTTCAACTGGGTGTTGTAGCAGTCAAACCTTTCCTTGTCATACACGATCGCTTGATAATGGTTTCCAGTGTCTCTCCATCTAAGCACCATCACAGGCGGGATAATGCCGGCGCCTACGATGTCCTGCATTAACTGCACGGCTTGTCTTGTCTGTATAGTGTACACCCTGCCTGAATCAAAAGCGTCGTCTCCTCGCACTTCTATGCTCTCGTACGCATAGGCCTGCATCCTTGCTCTCTTGTTGTCAGCCCCCACATCCAGGACGTATATGGTTTCTCGCGCGTGTATCGCCATCCCTTTGATATGTGCTGGTCTGACCCAGAAGTGCGTTGGCACGACTGAGTTCACCGATTTGTTCCGTTGCGCTGCGTAATGATTCCCTAATGCGCAAAAACGCCTGCTCTGTTCAGCATTTCCTAAAGATCGGATACCGCTAGCCTCCAGTTCTACGTTGAGCTCTTCTGGGTGTAGCGTCATTTCATCTTTCAGAGTTGCCAGCATTCCATTTAGTATGTCTTTCTTTAGCAGGTTGGCTGCTGCAATTACCTCTGGCGATGGTTGGAGAAGTCCCGCCTGGACATTATAGAGTGAAGCGTAGCAAGCCAGCCAGCCACAATGTCCGTTGGCAGCCACATCAATAAGTGTTCCTCCTAATATCCACAACCATGTGTCCAGAGATTCGCCGAAGTCTATTGGCGGTTTGACTCGAACGAATTCGTACTCCCCGCCACCACAAGACGTGTCTTCCATAATACTGTCATGTTGCTCCTGAACTGTTGTTTCGGAGTTCTGAGTGTGCCCCCCACTTTCGCCGAGGTCTGGCTTACCAAATTTGTCGATTTGTTGTCCGCTCGTTGTTGAGAGAAATTGGTGCATATATCGCTGCGTGACCGCTAAGTCTGCCCTCCGATAAGATCTTCGTTTGTGTTTGGTCGGCGACGATGAGCGAGCTTTCCTTGGTTGCTTATCTGCTCGTGTTGTGATCTTGGACAAGGAGGATAACGTCTCCAAAAATCCCTCCCAACCTTTTGGACGGCGGTATTTCCGGCAGAAACCCCAACAGCACGGAATGGTACACCAAGCTGAAGCCGTCTTCCTTCCCCCTTTTAGCGGCCTGGGGTCATTTTCCCAGGCTTCCGGCGCTCTTCTCTTGGGCGACGTTGATGCGGCTTTTTGTGGCTCTTTGGGCACCGTCCAGTCACCCTTTAGCTTACCAACATTCCGTCCAGGCTTTCCTCGTGTTATAATTCGTTTTGTTGGAGATCGGCCACGTTCCGCCTGTTGTTCGTGTCCTAACGGGGCACTGCCTTCCTCGTTAGTGTTGCTTGATTCCGCCTGCTCTACCGCTTGGAATTCAAACATGTCTTCTTTCATGAGTATGTCCTCTGTTTGCTCATGGGTTTGTACGCTGGCTTGTTCTGGATACTTGATTCCTGCTTCCATCTTCCTTCCATCTCGTGCCGGTGTTCCTGGATCGTCATCTACTTTGCTGGTGTATGATGCGCTGACATCCTCGTTCTGCTTCTCGTCTCCGTCGTCCCGCCCTTCGTTGATATTATGCTGCTTTGACTGCATCGAAGCCTGGTTCGGGAGTTGCCGGTGCTCCTCCCATTCACCAGGCAAAGACGGTTTGTCCGTTGTTGCTATCCGTCTCTTGGTCTGCAATTTGACTCTGCCGGTGTGTTTGGGGCTGAACACTGGCGCGTCGTCGGTTTTAACTTCGATTTTGTTTTTCTGTAATAGTGCCAGAAGCTGGGCGATGGTGGTGGGCATATCCCCTTCGCCTAGTGCTAAAGTTCCCATAGGTTGTCGTGTAGGCACCTTTCCATTGAGCCGAATGCAAGAAGTGTCACATACCACCCCTCCCTTGCAGTATTTCGTTGGGTGGTCCGGTGAAAACCACGTGCGACACGGCCAGTTGACGTTAATCCAGTGATGATGCACAGTCAACTCTACTGCTCCGATTGATACTAAGGATACGTTGCGGATGTTCTCCGGACAACTTGGCCTCTTGACCGTGACCACCCATTCCTTGTCGTTGGTGCCTCCTGTGCTGTCGTCCGGATGCTTCAGCTCCTGTACATCCAGCCCAAGCCCTTGGGTTAGGATTCAGTGCATGTCTCTGGAGGAAACTGCCCCACGTCGGACCGCCATCGTGAACTCGTAGAAGATCATTGCGATTGCTTCATGTGTCTTCTTGGCTCGCTCACGCTGACCTTTGTAATCGGTTAGAGGCAGTAATTTGGATCCGAACGGCATGTTCCATCCAATCCATTTTGATGCCGCCTGTTTCCCTTTGAAGGTGACAGTGATTATTCTTTTGTCCACGTCCAGCGTAATTCTGGACATTGTTCGCGTAAACTCCTGTACCTCTTGTTTTTGGTTCGGTGCTGCTTACTCTCCTGCTTTGATGAAGCGTAGCATCACCTCTCGTGGCATATCTTTCTAAAATTTTTGACCAGGAGCCAAGCGTGTATACAACGGATATTCCATGGCGTGTAATAGATCAGAAAAGACTGCTAATTCCTCTGCGTCCATTGTTTGCACTAGGAAGGTAGGTGGTCTAGGGATCTCTAGTTCATGGTTTATGATCATCACTAGATCCCGGTCTTCTTCTTTCGTTCTAGTTCGCAGCTCCGTAAGCCTTACCACTGGACGCGTGCACAACTCCAGCATTCGCTCCCTCTCCTGTATGTTTTGTTCTTCTGTTGCTGTGCGCTTCCCTTGGGTGATGGCTCCCAAGTACGAGACGGCCTGTTCTGTCCCACTAAGGCATGCTTGTTTGCTCTCTTGCTCTCCTTGAATATTACAAAATTGAAGTCTGGTTTCCACCTCAGATTGCCCTAACTTTCCGATGATAATCCACTTTTCCAGTAGTTGAGAGAATCTTCTGCAATGTTCAATGTTCCCAGCATCCCAATAACTTGTCAGATTCTCGTATTTCTCCTTCTGCCAGGCCGTTGGCACGTCCTGCCATCTTGCCCTGAGTTGACTGTCCGTTGGGAGCTCGTCGGTCGTCGATTGCAGGACTGTCGCCTTGTGTCGCTGGAATCGTCGTTCCTTTGCTAGAGCTGCTAACCTTGTCGCGGTTTGCAGTATGTACGCCAATGGTGCTTTTGCATCAAGTACAATTTAAGCTGGTTGAAAACTGCCTACCCATCTCCCCTGCTCGTGTGTTCTCTGGCGGTGTTTCTGGTTCCCGATGCACCCCCGCTGCCTTTTGTTTGACCTGAGTCTCGCCATGACGAGGGCCTTTTAGGTTGCTGCTGTACACCGTTTCCCCCGCTTCCCTTCTCTTGGGTGGTTCCGCCTCTCACATTTGACTGCTTGGCACCCGCAGTCAACCAACCGCCTTGCTTATCAGTTGTCTCCTTCTTGCGTATCTCTGCCCCTTTCTCCGCACCCTGGGCCAGTGACGCCACTAGTCCTTCATGGTCATGCTGCCCTTCAAACTTTCCATCCATTCTCTCTCACTGGGAAAGCCTCTCCAGCACACTTGAAGATCGTATGTCGGGGGATTTCACGGCCTTCCTGGTACCGCCCCCCCCGATGCTTTGTGTCTTGTTCCGCTAGCTCGAGTCCTGAAGAGTCGCTCGCCCTAGCCGGTAAATTGGGAAGTTTTTTTGCGCATTTTTACCTTTTGTAAACGGACAATATTAGAAAAACACCTCAAGCAGAAGAATTCGCATACTGTAGATCGACACATTAGGGACTTTGTTTATTGACAGCTGAATGAAGCTGTTTCTACAGTTTTCGGTGAGGCCACAACACTGGAACTGCCTACGGGAGTTTGCTGCAGGAGACGGTGGCGAATGTGCAAATGAGTGATCCTTGGGCTAAGAGAGAAGGAATATTCATGTAGTCTGTGAGGTTTTCGAATGAAGAAGCCGTGAAGATGAACTTTCTGAAGGCGTTATTAATAATAATTTAGCGTACGTGATGATATTTGACAGCACGCATACTATTCAGATTTGATGTTTGCGCTAAGGATGCATCATATGTGTTATTGTGCATTTCAATGCTATTGTCTTTTTCACTTAGCCTGATGCTCGATTTATAATAAAATTTAAAATAGTAATAATAATATTTAATAGAGATTGTTTTATTTAACCGAGGTCTTTAAAAAGTTCAAATTGAAACCGAGCTACGACAGCCAAATCGACCGCTCGGGATCGATCAACCATCAAATCCACATCGATATCCTGTAAATCGACCCTTTTTGTCGTTTTGAAATGGCAATTCAATCACAGATAAAACAAATCGATGTCTGTCTCTTCCCATCTCATTTTTACGCTCCGATCTTGTTCGATCTAATAGGCTATAAAACGGATGGACATTCCATCTACAAATCACAAAATTAATAGTGTATAATTTGCATGGGGAGGTGGGGTATTTTATTACCTCGAAATATCTGGTTTAGTACACCGTTTCCGAATCAAGTTGGCAAATTTCCCGGAGCAAGTGAACGTGTTAGTTTATGCGCAAAATTAAAGCATCAGAAAAAAGCCATTTCTCACAAAGTGAAAATTTCACTAGTCGACATTACGATCAAGTGAATATGGCTATATCTCGCTGGAACCTCTACTTGCCTAGCTCCATGGTCTCTCCTCTTGAAGCCACAAAGAAGGCCCTAAGACAATGACGCTTCATACGCCAGACCAACCGACGCGTAATAGAAGGCTTCGCCACCTCCACAGCTTCTTCCATCAGCGCCTGGCGGTGAGCGCAGAATGTGTCGGTCTCGCCTCTTACTAGGAATTCCTCCTTACGCTCGGCAATGAATCGCCGCATCTTTGGCTTGAGCACATTCCAACAACCCTCAATTGGGTTGAGCATGGGGCTGTAAGGTGCTAGACGCAGCACGACCAGCTTGGAGCTGTTCATGATGCCGTCCCCCGTCAGAATCTCTCTAGTAAGCGTATCGACCTCACTGTGGGACGGCGCATTGTCCGTAACAATAACTATCTTGATGGGCGGTGCCAGCTCACGTTCTTGTCCGTCGCCAACGCTGCCGTAAAGAGGTCAGCGACAAAGCGCGCGTTCTCCTGTTTCTTGATAGATCCAGAGTGTGTTCGCATGAGTACGATACCGGTGCCAGACGAAACACCACCTTGCACATGTAAGTTGGCTCCTTTAGAGGATGCCAACGCCACCGTAGCACGCTCTCCAACCCGCGAGTAGCCCTCGCTACGCGATAGATTAATGTTGAAATTTTTTTCGTCCTGAAACACGGTCATGTAACCCGCATACGTGTGTTTCTCCAACTTGTCCGCAAAGTCTTTGCGCTTCGTCTTGTTCTCCGCATTATTCATCGTAATCTTCTCGACCCGCAGCTTCTTTAAGCTGTAGACCATGCCCTGGAGGACTCGGTGCACGGAAGACGTGCTTACGGACACGCCCATATCGCTCAGCAACCTGTCGCGCATCTGTTTACAGGTGTGGCGGCAATCCTCGTCGAGATATACCTCCAGCTGGGCCATGACTGGAACAATCATTTTAACGCGAACGTCGCGAACTCCTCCGTGAGCTCCGGGCTCAGTGTCAGCGTAAAGAACGGCGCGACGAGCGATGCTGTACGGAACATCATTGTGCTTGGCAACATCCTGCCAATTCGCCCCATCCTTGAAGGCACGCACGACACGTGCCTTGGCAGCAATGCGCTCGTGTTGGCATTGTCTTCTCGTGGGGGTGGGAGTTGAGGGCATGCTATAGAAACAGCGCAGAAATGAAAGTGACAAGAAAGATGAGGCTACTGCTCAGCACAGAATGGTTGGTGTTCCGTGGGAGAAATTGGCGCCAGAACGGTTGGCCATTCTTTACTTGATTAAGAACCACAACGCGCCAATTTCCACTTTGTGGAAAATGCACTTTTTCTTAAATAAAACCTATTATAGGTTTTTCTCTTAAAAACCTCATAGCTCACTTGCTTTGAAAAATTGGCCAACTTGATTTGGAAATGGTGTAGATCAAACCGTGTTGGCTACGGTTATTTATTTTTAAGACTTTAAGTACAGCTTAATCTGGATTCAGTGCCTACGATTTGCATATTAATAAAGCTACAATATAACTCGGACTTCATTGAACTTTACTTACTCGAAATTAGGAGCAGTCCAAGTGGAGAATGGTTCGCATCTCCGGGTATAAAATATACGCACCTCATGGCGGCATCATTCACGGCGCGTTAGTATTTCGGATGTCTACTTCTCTTCCTCCGGCTCTATTGAGTATTAAGGTAGTGACATAGTAGTTAGCACTGTCCGAGCGATTAACGGCGTGTTTTCTGAAAGTGAAGACACCAAAAACTGCGTGCGTTTCGTAAGTCTAACATTTAAAAATACTATGCCATCTAATGCTGCTGCAGGATAATGGAGTCTCTGTTGGCGATGGTCACGGTGCTGTCGACTGTGCTACACTTACTACTGCTGTCTAAAGAAAATGGATGATAAATGAAGCCGCTGAACAGGGTAATTTACTCGTTGTGATACTGATAAGGATTACACTTTCGTATGGAGTTCTGACGTCAGCTGCATGCGCTTAACGGCGTGCGGTTTCCAGGTTGTATGCACCATCTCATACACACAAACAGATGCTGCGGCTGTGAAGCAGGCGCAGGAGATGCTTTGTGTTCTAGCTGTAAGCCAAGATGTCACCCCCAGGTGATGGTGCATCAGGTGGCTACCCATGGTTTGCACAATTAATGTTTGGCAATGAACCCACCACTGGTGACACCAGCGATGGACCGGCTGGTGAGATGTCACGCCTGGGATGTCACACCACGGTTCTGGAAAACCGGGGTTTTCAGGAAAGTGGCTGGGTAGAAGAGTGCTATGGGGTGGTTGGGTAAAGGGTTTTTCTTACCCTTACTGCTTTACCTTAAAAAATCTATTTTTTTTACAGTTAAACGTAAATAGCGTTTAATAATACATAGTAGGTTCCTGAGCGATACTCTGTACAGCTAATAGCCCATACCTGAGATCGTATTTTGGGTGTTGAAGATGTAAGCTGAAACCTCAAGGCGCTCCCAGGGTTGGAAGGGCAATCCTGTATCAAGAGGGTACGCTACCGAGGTTGTGGAAAGCTTGTAGAAGCCAGAGTTCTAATTTTCAATCTATCACTTTGCAATTTAGTCTGTTCGACTTACATCTCCGGCCGAGAACGCCGGGGACACAGATCAAAGCTAGCTTTAGTGCCGTGGTACTAAGTTGCAGGAGACGCCTCTGTGCAAGCGATTGGTTGAGCAATCTTCTTTCGACCGTGCAGGCCGACCGTGTGTGACTGTTAAAGCCACCGAGTAGCCTGGACCACCATGGCTAGATTTACCATTCCTGATCAAAACGCGTCGCCACCACATCGGTCTGAGCATTGGACAGTGGAAATGACAGCAGCTCCACCGCGGACCGACGAGACTGGTGCAGCAGTTCCCTAGGGAATACCCTCGACGACGGAGGCACCGGAGGCCCCGCATGGTGGAAGCATGACACCTCGTCGCCTCAGTACCCACCTCACTGCCAGTAGCGGGGGGGGGTCTTTTGGTTTTCCACGTCGTGATTATGAAGGAGACGGCATGGATAATGTCAGCGTATCTGCGGGTAATGGGTGACATGCGAAGCCAGAAGGATTACAGCTGAGCCGGTGCGTGCAGACAATGCCTACACTCCCAACCCCACCGATTTTTCGCGGATCGACGGCCAAAGAAGAACCGTTTTTCATGAAGAAGTATGAAGCCTACTGTAGACAGCTGTCTACTCTAGAGACGGCTTTCTTCCGACCCTTCCGTATACCAGTGGGGGCGTGTGTGGAAGTCGAGCGTCGTCGCCTTATGACAATGTTCAACATGTTTTTAACCGATTGAGCAAATATCCTTGGATTAACTACTTCTGGGAAGGCCGGATCACGGGAGAGCTTGACTTCGGTAAGGTCAGAACGCTGATGCGTAGCAGTTTGGCAATGGACGTGACGCTAGCAGGCGATGGGTCGCGTGTCTCTAAATTGGCGGAGCATGCATAAAGATGTCGACAGCTGTGAGACTTGAAAAGCATGGAGTGGATGATCGTGGGAGAATCGAAGAGGGTCGTCCGCTACCTGATGGACGCACTGGTACCCGAGCCGCTTCGCCGGACGGTAAAGAATGAGATGGCTCGTGAGTCTAACAAGCCTCTCCTCAGAGATGTGGTCGCCATTACCAAGTGGCTCCGCGACAGCTGTGAGGAGTACCTGCGGTGGGAGCCCCCAGCGAATCCAACTGACTCGTCCGGAACGAAGCAGACTAGGAAGAAACCCGGACACTAGTCTCGTAAACCCCCTCGCCGTGATTATACAAAGACGCCGCCACGTAAGAGAACCTGTTTATAATGCGACAGCACGACCCATCGAGTAAAGCATTGTCCTCGAGTGGTCGCAGACAAAGCTGAGGAACTCCTACGTCAATGGAGAGATAAGGGAACCCGAAAGCCGACGCCTTGGA